TTAAAATGCCTTCATTTCCCAAGTTGCATAATGTTTGATGTTTTTGATCAAAATAATATATTTTAATTTTGCATTTAAAAGAAGCATTCCCACTTCCCACCCTTAAATTCATTTGGTTCTTTATTAAAACAATAGTGCTAAAATATTACAAATGTGTTAATGTTCCTTTTAAAGCTGATTTTTTATCATGTGAGACTGGCATACCAACACCAATAACCAGGTAAATTTGCATTTCAATGTGTTTAAATACATCTATTTGGCTTCTCAGTTCCTAAGATATTGATTTCCCTTTTCAATAATATTTTTCAAAAATTTAGTAGCTTCAAGTATTGAAAAATTTCTGCAAATTAGAGAAACATTATTTTTCTTGTAACTTAAATCATTTCTCCCCCAAAGCTGGGCATCACATGGTGGGTGCCATCTTGGAGAGCTGACTACTACATTCCACAGTTGTGATAGCTGTAGAGCTGGTTGTTATATTCTCAGATTAATCAAACAGATTCTCTTCTTCCTCAGTGTCCGTTACCCCTGTTGGAAGCTATAACACGATGACATCACAGTAATGATCCACAGAACTGATTATGATTCTAATATGCAAGAACCAAGAAATCAAGAGGGTAGAGGCATCAAACTGACTTAAAGATTTGATTATTTATAAATGTTCCTTGAATTTATTTCTGAACATGCTACGCGTGTCCTTTTTATTGCTTTGTGATAACCCCATCTAGCTTGTAAACTTCTAATGGAAAAGACAATGTTTTCATATCTTTAACTAGGTATACAACAGGAGTTTCATGCTTATTGAACAGCCATTAGATACAGATGGATAGCTAAAAATATTTATTGTATAAATACTTGAGTGGATAAAAAGGTGAACAAATACTTAATTCTTTGATAATTTCCCATTGATCTCAGAATGAAAGCGTGACTCTGGCCTTCATGTGAGTGTGGCCTGTCACATCTGGCTGCAGCCTACCTGTCCAACCTCATCTCATTTTCCCCTTCACTTACTGGCCTCCGGCTCCACTCACGACCTTCAGCACCTCAAGCCTCTTTCCACCTTGCAGTCCTTCGCACCTATTTCTGGAGTTATCCCCCCAGCACTTGGCATGCATGGCCCCTTCTCATTCTCCAGATCTCAGCTTGCCTGGGGTCCCCTTAGAGAGTTCTTCCTTGATCACCTCACTAAAGTGGGCTTCCGTAGTTGCCCTCCTTCTTCTTCCTGGTTCTGATATAATCTGTAGTCCTATTGCTCACTTACCTATTTTCTAGTTTATTGTCAGTCCTTTCTACGTGAGGCCACAGATGCTATGAAGATAGAGACCAATTTTGTCTCTTCACTTCTGTATTTGCAGACTGCCACAGTCAATGAATTAAAGAAAAAATAAATGCGTGAATGAATGATGATATCAAAAAACAGACTGTATGCAAGACTGCCTTTTGGTGCCAGATTTCATTGTGTTCTGAGGTGTGTGTGTGTGTGTGTGTGTGTGTGTGTTTTACCCTTAAAAATAGGAGTAATTGTATTTTTAAATTTTCTTATAGAGCATGAGATTGGGTGGTTGGGTAAATGGTTTGTCACTATCGTGGGTTTAGATATGCTATCAGGCTTTTAATCTGAGTAATTTTCATACTTAGTATAAAAATTTCATAAAGCAATATCACAATCAGGAGGGATATGGAACACAGAGACAATCACAGATATTGAAGCTCATGCAGAATTGTCTCTTAAAGGCATCCCTTTAGAAAGAGTAAGAAAAGCTCACCTGAAATTGAAAGATGGAAAAACATTTGGGATCATTAGCAGGATGGCACAGGGAAAACCACTGTGGATTGGGTACTAGTTCTAGGTCTGTGACTAATTATGAACTCTGGGCAAGTCACTTAACCTCTCTGAGTGTTGGTTGGTTTCATTCGTAGACGTGAAGATGAGGGGTTAGGTCAATGACTTTGAAGCTGTGCTCTGTTGAAGTTTGTGAGCTATGGTGTGATGCATGGGAAGGGGGTTCTCAACCCCTGTTCCAAACAGAGAAACTGCTTTGATTGAATTTTTATATTGAAGCACTGAATACATTTGGATTTTCAAACAGGTCTTACTGCTTCAGAACATTAGAACACCACTAGCGTGGACTGTTTCTACTATCCAATGGTAACTTTTCAATACTCTAAAAGATTGTGAATTCAATTTTTAAAATTAATTGAAGATGTACTCTAGCAAGGCACTATGCTGGTTGCTGGAAGATGAAGATTGTACATAGCCTAGCTTATAGTCTATTGTAACCACATACGATGTCTATTAAAAGTCCACAACAGTGACATAAGCACAGAACTATGAAGCTCAGAAGAGGGGAAGTTCTGGGGGTATGTATTTATATATATATGTGTGGGTGGGTGGGTGTACGTATATGTGTGTGTATGTGAATATATGTGCATGTGTATGTATATATGTATGTATATACATGTACAGACACATAGCATATGAATATATTAACATATATGCATTATAGGTTACACATGAATATGTTATATATTGATCTACTTACATATAAAACATTATATATAATACATATGCACATATATATTTCATATGCAACCTAGAAGGAAAGGAGGTAAAATTTGTGTTTAATAGATGTGTCTAGTTCATACATAGAACTTTCATCTCCCCTCATGTTCTACTCTCCTGAATCACAATGTTTTCATACTACAGGTAGTTGGAGGGTAACTACATCATTGCTGATGTATCCCTCATTGTTTCTTACCAGACTGTGTTAGCTTCTTTACACTTGTGATGGTGCAGACAATGGTCTGTAAGGAGACAGATTTGTCAAATACTGCTTTGCTTCATTAAGTGGACATCCATTTTACACTGCAAATCATGGCATGTACTTAAGTAAATTCCATCAAGAGATTTACCACATTTTTTAAAACAGTAACTATTTTTTTCAATTTTGGGATCAAGAAGTTATTTCTGGCAGTTAATTCAATTGGAACCCCTAATGGATTTGAAGATTGTCAACAACTCCTGAAGGCTCACATAATGGTGATCTTTAAAGACAGTGTTGTTCATCTTTATTTCCCCAGGAGATCTTAGCAGAGTATCTTATGTATAAAGTGCTCAATTTTTTAATAAGAAAATGTCATCAATTATTTTCTAGGAAGCAAACCCCTTATTGTTAGGAGCCGGCAGTACTGTAAATTGTGCTACTGAGTATCAATAACATTTTAGTATCAAGTTAGCACAGATTACACTTACCCACCAGACCTAAAATGCAAAGAAGAAAATACTGATTTTTATGATTGTAGTTGTAAAAAAACAGTATTTTAGGATGAGCCATCAATGCTAATGGCTCTGGAATAAAGTATGAGCATATACAAATTCAAAGAAAATGGCTAAAGTGTGAAAATTCCTTGGAAAAAATGCAAACACTTCTAAAATACACACCAGTGTTCAGTCATCTTTCATTCAAGAGGTTGGTGAACTTTTTCTGTAGAGGGCAAGATGGTAATGCTCTTCGTTTTGGGAGCCACCTGGTCTCTGTTGGAACTACCTAGTTCTGCCATTTTACCTCTTCAGCAGTAGGGAATATATTAATGAATGGGCACCACTGTGTTCCAGCAAAGTTGGCACAGGGCCAGATATGGCCCAGGGATCATAGTTTGCCAACACTGATCTATATGGTTACCAATGATTCTTGTAAATGTTTTTGTTTTTCCAATGAAAATTTAAAGATATTTTTTAATGCTGGGTCATAAAGATTTTCAGAATCATTTTCAAATTCTCCATTCCAAGATTACATTTAAGGAGGTGAAATAAAGAGGAGATATGTCCTAATTTATCACACTTTAGCCGTAGCTGTCAAATATAGTATTTAAACTACTATTGACATAATTCAGCACATGAAGTTAATTTCATGTGTTAAGTCCGTCTTCACAACATTTGATGATATTGAGCATCATCTCTGGCAAATACCAATGAATGATGGTAATCTGAGCTTGTAATTTTTAATTAATAATTTTATTAATTTGGGGGATTTAAAATATTATTTTTAGCATGACTTACTTAACATCTTTTTCAATGTTGGGAAAGTGAACAAAACTTCATGAACCAACTTGATTCAGAATAATGATGAAGTCAAGAGCCTTAGGGTTTACAAACCACTAAGATGTGATTTACCTGAAACCACAACTTAAGTTTGAATTCTCAGCTCAGATAAAATGTTATTTACACATATTATTTATTTTGTATCACTCAGTAACTGCCAACTCTTAAAAATATGGTGGTGGCTCAGATGAAAACTTTCGCTGTTCTAAAATAACCACTGAGCATACAAATAACTTTTCCTAAAAATGGATCCTCTACCATCTGAGAGGTTATGTGGTCTAGAGGAAAAGAGCATTGGTCAGGCATTAGTAGACCCAGTTACCAGTCCCAACATGTTATAAATCAACTAGATCTGAACAAACTGGTTGCCTAGAATACATTCATTTACTCTTGTGTAATGTAGGAATAGGATGATAACTTGTATTAGTAGGTATGCAGGTCCCTTGTAAGTTATCAATTACTATATAAAACAAATGCAAAGATTCTTTCTCTTTCAATGCTTTGAAAGGTGGTAAGTATTGCCATTGTGACTAAATTGTGACCTAAGCTTTTGTTTCACTTTGTTTGCAAAAGGGAGGAGAAGTTTTTTTAAAAAAATAATTATATAATTATCTTTGGGGTCCTTCCCCTCTTTAATATATCGTCATTTCTTTCACCTTGTTGAAGCTGAATGAGTGAGCATCTAAGTGTGTTCAGCAGTTGGAAATATAAGTATGATGCAGTGAGACTCTACATCCATATATTCATCAAAACATTTCACAGGGATCTCAATAGTAAGTATGCAGTGGATGGGACAAAATCACAACAGGCAACTTTATTTGTAGAATTTGATCCAAAACCCAAGAAAAAAATAAATTAAAAGCGCTGAGTCTCTATTATGTTTGTACACAAAATAAACCAAAAAATACATCAGCATTTACCATGAGATCATTTAAATGTATTTGCAAATGATTTGGTAAGGGAAACATCTGATTTACAACACGGGGAACTTCTTTTAACAACCAGAGACTTAAAAGCACTGCACTGTAGGTCACCTAGACTAGGTTAGCAAGAGTGAACAAAGTGGTAAGTCCAAAAGGCAACCCCCAAACACCTTCCTCAGACGGAGACTTTGGTAACTGTGGTAAAACAAACAAACAAACAAACAAACAAACAAAACACCAAGTCCTGTTCTTCACTATGCTGGATGGTCATTTCATTTCATTTTGTTCATTCTTCTCCCACAATGATGAGTCCATTTTAAATACTTCAGGTATTATGAAGACACTCCAAATCCACAGAGCAGCAGACACGTCCATTCTGTGCATCAAGACGTAAGGGTTAGCCAACTGAGACAGAGGCTATATAAATATCAATCAGCAATGTGCATTTTCATATTCAAAATGACCATATCTACGTTTTGACATAAACTCCATGAATGCTACTTAAAGTTAAGAAAAATGCTAGGGAAGGAGTGGTAAGGGAGGAAGGACATATGAGACCCTCTTAAGTCCCTCCTGCTAGATCTTGCTGGCAGTATAATCTCATACCTCTGAGCTCAAACCAGCTTTGGGACTCCACCCCCTGTATTTCCAGGTTGTTTATACAACTAATTCACTGGACTTATTCTTGGTAAAATTGTTTTCAAAAACAAACCCCTCAAAGATCATTTGCCATGAACAAAGCTAATCCAAAGTACCACAGGGACCTGAAGGCAACTCCAAAATGGGTTCCAGAAAGGTCTGTATATTAGGAATAGAGTCTCTCGTGGTGACTATGAAGGTAACAGTACATGTTTAGATATATAAATTATTGGAAATTCATTAAAAATCAAGGACATGCATTAATGTAAATACACCTTTATAATCCCCCTAAATGAATCTCAAACCTGACCTCAAAGAAATACTACTAAATAACAGTTTCCACATCCCTCGGTCATTTTCTTTGCTGGGGCTGAAGGTATACACACACACACACACACACACACAGGACCATGGTTCTTTTGCTATGTGAAGTTTGATATTGGCCTTTTTCTATTGGGGCTGAATCTTAAGATGGCACTTTCTCATCTACCTTTGTAACAGCCATAAAAAGATGAGTTGGGAACCTTCCACTGATGTTTGGAACTGAGCCAGGATTTGATAGAACAGACTAATATTTTAAATGTGCTTAATCACGGGAATCTTAAACAGATGTTTTGACGGAGATTTGACACTGCCTAACCCCTGCTCCGAGTCCAATGTAGTCGTAGCTCTTCCAAGCACTGTAGGGAGGAAGGGGTCAGTTTTTAACTTCAAAGACATATGAGGATCCCTCATGGGAACTCCTCTAAAAAGACAGGAAAATAATCACAATTAATTAAATCCTGCAGCAAGAGCTTCGGGTTCCCGCATTAGGCACTGTGATAATTAAACAAAGCAAACAACTTCATAGAACACTTTTTTTCTAACACTGACAGTTTCATGAAAGAGCTTATAAAATTTTCCAGGATGAAAAGAGATCTTTTTTCCTTTCTTCCTTTTCTTTTTAATATGCAGGTCAAAATAGCTTAAATCAGCCATAATTGGTCCTAGTATCAATTGTCAAAATTCTGTAGTTCAAAGGCATGAGAGAGGACAATTTTATTCCATGTTCATTTGGAGTTTGCCTTTAAACGCAGTGCAGCTATGATCCATTCAGACATATTAACCTCCTGAGAGAAGTAAATGCCTGCCTGTGTTTTTACCATGCCCCTCAGAATCTGTGCATTCAGTAACATCAGGAATGGACCTCCTGCAGGTACTCTCTGACAACTGTTCAAGGCCTGATTGTCCTCAGGATATCCAATTACCTTGCATTTGCAGGTTGTGCAGGGAGATCCAGCCATTGTCCACACTGAGCCGCTAAGCCTTGAAATACCATAGCTGTCCAGGCAAGTTTTTCTGATGTCGTAGGCAATGTTATCAGCCAGGCAGGGGTCACTGACACAGCGGGGACAACACTCCCCTTCCAAGATGGCTGTGTACTCACAGCTCAAATTGGGGCAAGTGAGTGGCCAGCAGTCTACCTCTCCTTCCTGTAGAGAGAAAGCCAAAAATGGCTCATCTATGTCCTTATGCACAATTCTGTTCCCAAAGTCCGGGGAGGGGGGGGGCAGTAATTCTCATCATTGTCCTTACTGAATGTTTTTACTTCTACCTTTATAGGTAGAATATGCTTCCTCCTTGAAGAGCTACCACAGATATCACCTCCTCCAGGGTGCTTTTGCTGACTGTCTAGTGCGGCCCAAAAAAGAGGCAGGTCCTATCCCTGGGTGCCAGTGGCAGCCCATAATTATTTTTATCATCATACTTATGATCCTTATCATCACTCTCAGTGCAATTCCAGATTAAGTTTTGAGGCTTTAGGCTTTGGCCTTGTTTCTTTATCTAGATGGTACTTAGCACAGTTTGCGTCAAAAAATGCTAATCAAATGGGCAATGAGTGAAGAGGTGATAAGGTGTTGGCTAGTGTTTAAAGAGAAATTAATTACTCTCAAGGTCAAAGGGGAACTTGAAGCACTGTAATATTTCACCCACCTCATAAACTGAGTTCCTAGTATCAAATTTAAAATTGAGATTGGGCAATATCAAGAGAACTATTTCAGAATGGTTTTGAATGTGACGTGTAGCTAGGAACATCACTAACGTGTAGCAAGGTGTTACAGTTCAGGTGGAGCCTCTGTATGTTTCAGGATCTGGCAACTGTGGCTCCACTGAGCTGCCTATAACTCTTTCTCTATGCAGCCTCTTCTGTTATTATAATTTATGCAAACTCACATCTAATTATTTGGTCAGCTTCACAAGACAATGGCCTTTGGTGATAGACCACATCTATCATGCTCACCATTATAGCATCCAGAGTCTAGCACATGCAAAGTCTTGATAAATATTTATTAAATATGACCCACATTATACTCAAGTAATTATTAAGCTATGTGTTCAACATCCTCAGTTTTCCCAGGAAAGATTAACCTTAGGGGCTGGGGATGGAAGTGAAAACACTTCTGAAATGCTCTGAAAATTTCATGTCTGAAATTAAGCCCAATTCTTCTAAGTGCCTGATGACTGGCTTCTTGAAAAAAAAAATGCGATTTTCCAGACTGATGTGGAAGTTAATTTTTATAGTTGTATTGGGTTTATTTGCCCTTGGATGGGAGCTTGAAAAAAATGGCTTTGATTTAAATATATCTGAGTGATACTCTTCAGTAGTAGGAGTGAGTCAGAAGAATGCTTTTTATTAAGATGATCTGCACATTCACCATGAGACTTTAGAAAATCTGATAGCGGGCGCCTGGGTGGCTCAGATGGTTAAGCGTCTGCCTTCGGCTCAGGTCATGATCCCAGGGTCCTGGGATCGAGGCCCGCATCGGGCTCCCTGCTCCTTGGGAGCCTGCTTCTCCCTCTGCCTCTCTCTCTCTCTCTCTCATGAATAAATAAATAAAATTTAAAGAAAAAAAAAAGAAAATCTGATAGCAATTTACAGTACAATTTCTCTAAATGCTTGTCTTCATACAGTATCCATAGACTAAATCACTAATTTCAGCCTATGTTAAACTATGGAATGTAGCTAATAGGTTCCATTATAAGTTGACTTGGTTGTGACTTGGTTTCAGAAGTTATGACTTCCTCACAGATGGAACATCATATTCACTATGATTATGTTTCCCAACAGTCTTTGCATCCTTTAGAAACCTTTGTGTGTGGTGTGATTCGAAACAGAGAGAACCAGGTACAGCAATTAAATTTTTTTCTCTGGACACTCTCAAATCTTATGATACCATTAGTATTTTTATATTAAGGTCCAAAACTACCTTCATTTTTTTTCTTTATGAAGGTTTAGCATCCAAAACAGAGTTTTCAACCTAGGAAACGTTATCAATAGCAACTGTTGTGCACTAAGTACCTTCTTTGTGCCAAATACTGCATTTGTGCTTCACATAATTTCTCTTATCTTCAGAGCAGAACTACAAAATAGATAGTTTCCCTTGGGTACAATGAAGGAAAGAATGATCAGTGCATTGCGAGGACTTGCCCAGATTAACAGCACAGAGCTAACACGTGGGAGACGTAAGATTAAATTCTTGGTCTCTCTGACTCAATCCCTGATGTTTCTGCTACGTTCTGTTATCTTTCATATTGAAACTTTTAATGGTTAGATCCCAAGAAATCAAAGACTGGGCTCTATAAGAACTACAGGTCCCAGTCAAGGCTTTGAAGACTTTCTAATCATGGGGGCATTTTTCTTGATCTGGACTTGCCAAAAAGTTCATCTGACCTATGAACACTTTCTTTTTGCCTTCTATATTGTTTTTTGTTTTGGGTTTTTAAAAGTTTTAATTCCAGTATAATTAACATACACCGTTATATTCATTTCAGGTGTACAATATAGGGATTCAAGTCTTCCATCCATCACCCAGTGCTCATCACAGTGCCCTCCTTAATCCCCATCACCTATATCACCCATCTCCACCTGTCTCTGTATATTACTTTAAATAGTATAATCTGAATGTCTTCAGGCAGAGCATTTGCCCCTTAGTAGCCACAAGAATTGCGCTCCCTGAATAGACTCTCAAATAGCAGGAAACTCAAGCCCTTAGGCAACTGAGTTAGCAACCTTTCCAGGGTAAAGGGATAACAGCCTGTCAGGGAAGCTGACATACCAGACACCGGCACTGCTGGCAGCTATGAGTCCAATTGTCTCCGCTCCGATACAGCTTGTGTCCATTTTGATCTAAACATTGACTTGTGACCCTGGTGTCACACTCTGGGCAACAGAAAAGGTCAACACTTGGATTCTGGCAATCACAAGCGGTCCGTCGGCAGAATATCTTTCCATCCTGTTTAGAAATGAGGTGAAGGAGGGTTACATCATTAGGGAAACAAGGTAGCGGCACTATGAAAAGCAAGCCTTATAAACACTTTACAGAGCACACAGGAAAGATTTTTTAGAGTCAAAGTACTCCCCTGGCCACCTTTCATTTTGTTCAAAACAGATGCACGTGTGTGCGCGTGCACACATGCACCCCTTTCCCCGACCTTGCCTACAGAGCAGCCCGTGTAAAAACGGAGATATTTCTAAGTTTAAAAAAGTCAGTATGTTCTTTGAAACTCCCTTTTCCCCAAAAAATCACATTTCTAAGTAAAATTACAATTAAACTAAGCAGTTAAAAATGCATCTATGCTCAAGAACTTGAGTGGAAAATCATGCTACTGTATTTTTCCCAATTCATAATGATAACATGAAACACATTCAAAGGCATTCATTGAATTTTATCTCTGTCTCAACTCTGGGAGGAAGTCTGACTATACCCTTTTTACAGAAGAATTAACTGAGGCCCAGGGATGCTAAATGATTTATCAAGTATGGAGTTAGCGATCTCTAAGGAACTCCATCAGGGCTTCTGGTTTCAAAACAATTTTTCTTCTACAAGACAGGCTTTAGGTGGCTTATTACAAAGGGCTCTGATTAGGTGCCACCTTCCACCTTGAGGCAGTTACCCAAATAATAGGCCCAGTACAATTTCTGGAGTAATGGCCCTGAACACTCATAAAGACTTGAAGTTCAACAGCACTCAAACATTAAGACTGCACATTTGCAGCCTGTCCCCATTATACGTGTGTTATTCACAGTAATTTCTCACCTCAGACAATAAAAAATGCTGAAAATGTAAGGTAAGACCTGTGGCGACATTTATGGTTATAACTGCTTTGCTGAATATTTACAAAACCAAAGACTCTCAGAGCCAGTGGTACCTTAAAGGACACATAACCAAGCCCCCTGGACCTATACTGAACCCTCTCTAAAGCAGTCATATTCAAAAGTCATCAAGCCTGTGCTTGAAGCTCTCCTTCTCAAGGAAGCCACCACTATGGAAGGCATTCAAAGTATATATCTCTGTTCATGTCTGAATGTTAAAAACTGGACTTCTTGTTGCCTCTGTCCATTGATCCTTGTCCACACCCATTGCTAGTCACAGAACTCCCAGTCCTTTCTGTCACATTTTCAACTCTTTTGTTCTTAGAAGACAGCATTTATGTCTCCACTGAATCATCTCATCTCTGGATTAAACATCTCTAATTTTTTGACCAGTCCCACTAGTTTTGAGTCCCTTCAGTGTTATAGTTGCCTTATCCTCAACAGTTTCAAGTATTTCCAATAGTAGTAGTAGTAGTAGTAGTAGTAGTAGTAGTAGTAGTAATAATAATCTACCATAATTTTAACACTTATTTTGGGCCATACATTGTGCTAAGCCTTTTATATGCATTAGCACATTTGGTCTTGATAATTCTGTGGAGTATGATTTACACTCCATTTCTCACATGAGGTAGCTGAGTAAAAGAACTAAATATAATTCTTCAGTAACAGTCTGACCAACACAGTGAATTGGGACTCATGGTCACCTTGTACTTTCTTTAATGCAGTCTGATTTCAATATTTACTTCCCTACTTACTATGGTTATGTCATGGTGTTGATTTATATTGAGCTTAATGAAGACTAAAACCTCATTAAGCCCTATCCCCATCTTGTGCACTTAGTCATCTGGGGGTAGCAAAGATAAAACCTGATGTTTATCCTTACTGTACTGCACCTTGTTAGGTCCATTTCATCTCTCCTGCCTGTCACAATGTTTTCTAAATGCTGTTTCTGTCATCCACCATAGTTTGTCCTCTTTCACAGCTTTATCTGCAAACTTGATGGACCTGCCCTCGGGGTCTTCATCTACTTCATCGATAACAATGTTGAATAGGACAGGACTTGCTGAGACAAGTTTACTGTCAGCAAAAGCGGAAATCTTTAAATGCTTTATATTTTTTATGGAGAATGGAAAGGAGACATGCTGGTTAAGTATATAATAATAACATAACAGGTTGAAAAATGCTTTTCCTCAAAGCGTGTGCATTTTCTCTATTACTGTAAGAAATGACAGGAAATCATAATTTTCCAAATATCAAGGGGTAAAAGATTATACAAACACACACACACACTCTCTCCAGTTACGCAGGTGAATTGAGTCAGAGATTATTATTAGTCTGGACCAAGAACTGTCCAGATTCTAGGCATCTTCCAACAATAGGCCTTTATTCTAACTCACTAACATATTTTGCTTGTGTAATCATTGCCCAGAAAGACTCCCTAGTGATTTATTTTAGCCAAGAAGTTAAGCAAAGTAATGGTAGCTACAACATAAAACCATTGGGTCAGCTCAGCTACTGAGGTCACAATACTACTCTCCCTAAGTATAGAAGGACTGGGCCTCAGTAACCGACAGAGCTATGTCCACAAACCATTTCAAACAGGGACAGATTCTTCTAGAAGGGGTTACTGTCCACAGGCAAGGAAGCCCAATCAGAATACTGTGTTTCTCTCCTCATGTGGGGATTAAAAGAATGAATAAGTGGATAGCCTCCAGGGTTAGTGCAAAATAAAGCAATTTCATATCTCATCAATTATGTGAAAATGCCAAATAGGCCCCTCTTAGTTTCTAACATATTTTAGAACGATGGCTATGTTCATTTTGCCTTTTGAATTACAGAGTAACTGTCAAGAAAATCATTTTTAATAATGAAAATGTCACAGGTGGCTCCATTAATTCAGTGATAATGTCATTACAAAACCTCAGCTCACAGAACACAACCACGCTAGAATCCAAACTTGGCAAGGAAATGGAACTCGGGGATGGTGAGTAATCCTTCTCATGGTACATCTCTGGGGTCATTCCCAGAGCTTGACCTCTGTCCCAGCTGGGGTGGTCAGAACAAGCCCCATTTACATGCCAAAGATGTATTTTCTCACCCTTCTGCCATAGAAGCTAAATGCTTTTCTGCAGTTTTATAATGAAAACTCAGCTATAAACAATTAATAATCATTGTAATATTTAAATTGCTCCTGAATTTTAAGAAGCAGGGACAAACACCTTCCTAGCAAATAAAAAATGAATTTATTCTTATAATGCCATGGAAAGTTATAAGTTTTATATTATAAATTACACATTTTATTACTGAATACTCGACACACTAATTTATTTAGTCCAGATTGCAAAATAACACTTTTTTCTTTTTTTTCTGCCACAGCTTGGAAACTTTTAAATCAAGAAGGAAGACTTAGGTAAGATAATTGATGTAAATTGAATAATAATATAACCTGGGGTTTGGCAAACTGATGCCAACAGTCCAAATTCGGCCAGTCACCTGTTTCTGTAAACAATGTTTAATAGAACACAGCTTCCCTCATTCATTTACATATTGTCTGTGGCTGTTTTCATACGCTAAGGGCAGAGTTCAGTATGTGAGACAGAGACCGTCTGGCCCTTTACAGAAAACATGTTTTGATCTCTGATACAAAGGGTAAAATTAAGAGTGGTACTCCAGACCCACCCATCTGTTCTACCTTCTCACGTGCAAATTTATGGTGGTGTGCTATCCAATCTTCCTTACAACATATTAATTTTGCCTCCAGGTTACATCCCACAACTAGCCCATTAGCCCTCTCTAATTAGCACCTCTCCAGTAAAACCTTTAACAGTCATTGAAGCCAACTGCCTCATTTTAATGAAGAGGAAATCAGGTCCAGAGAGGGGAAAGGACTTTTCCACACAGCAAATTAATGACAAAATAGGAACCAGACCTTACTCTGGACTTCTATAGCAATGATTTTCCAATATGCCGCTTCCTTGTGTCATGAGGAGCCTGAAGAGCAGGGTACAAGAACTTCACACAAACTGAAATCCGAAGGATTCTTGGGCTGACAGTTCTCAAAGTGTGGGCCTCACACCAGCAGCATTAGAATCTCCCTGGAACTAGCTAGAAATGCAAACTGTTCTGCTCCAATCCAATCTACTGAACCAGAAATTCCAGGGGTAGGGTCAGTGATCAACATTACACAAGCCCTCCAGGGGATTCTGGTGCAAGGGAAAGTTTGAGAATGTCTGATCGAGAAATAAGGTAACCCAGTCCGTTGGGAGATTAGCATGGCCTAACCCTCAAGGTTCTGCAGTGAAATGCAGGGCTTGGAACTGCACAGTGGAAGTATGAAGTCAGGGGGGATGGAAAAGAAGACCCTCTTCCTTGACAGGACCACTAGAGTTTTGAGGGAAACTAAACTTGCCACTTTGTTCCTCTTTCAAAGAAAAGGAAACACAATCTTAGGGCTTGCACGGCCAATTCCTACCATCAGGAACACCCTAGCCAGGAAGGTATTGACAATCCTGCTGGTTAGGTTCAGAGAGCAAAGCAGAGCATTTCTCTGAGTAACCTGCAGGATTTCAGAAAGCTAGCCTCTACCCTGGCCCCAGGCACAAGGTGACTCATCCCTGTTCTTCACTCTATGAGTGAGTGCCACATGGAGAATGGCAGGGTTATTTTATTGTCAGCCCCCGCTCCCCGTGCAGGTAGAGCTTTCTTCTTGCCTGAAGGAAACCCACGAACCCGTGAGGTTTCCCTACCATGGCCACCTTCCTCAGTTTCTGGGCAAAGGCTTAGATGAGGCCAGGTCAAATGGCCAGCATTCCAGACAATCTCCTGGCAAAGGCCCTCTCCTCTACCCTCCTTCTGTTTAAGATGACATGGAGGGCGACTGGTTATTATTTATGGTATCCATTTCCCTATCCACCTCCATCATTGCCAGAAAAACTCAAGACGTGGTATTGTTCGAGTCTTCAGTATTACATGCAGTTTCAGGATGAACGCCATTCACATTTCAATTAAGAAAGCAAACAAATAAAACAAAACAGTGCTGCAGGAAGCAAAGAAATGAAATCTGGCCTGCATAGCATGTTCTTTTTCTGCCACTGGATTTTCCAGTTACTACTAATAGTAGCTGTAGTAGGTAAAGGTGCA